CGCCGCTTTAAAGAGGGATTAACGCGTTTTAACTCGCTAATCACCTCTATGTCTCTCTTTTATTTATTTATTTTTTAGCTTTCGAAGTGGCAAAATTCCAAATGTCCAGCATTTTGGTGTGAATTCTGCCATCAATTATTCGCACAACATATTGTATGGTTTACTGCGGTGCATATGTTGCTATCGGGGTGAACGCAATTTATCCCTGACGAAATGTAACAAAAAAAATACAACTGTCACGGTCGTGGAATGAAATAATTCGCGCACTTTTCCATTTTCCGGCAGATAACGAAGGCAAAAAATGACGCTCTCGCTTTGTTTTTATCTCTTGTTTGAATTATTGCCACTGATGAGCGTTCGCAAAAAAATAATAAATACGCAAAAAGAGCAGTCGTTCTGATAAAAATGCTGCTGGCACTCTTAATTGAACCAGTGCAGCAGCCATTTTAGGAAATTGTACGTTTTACTTGTCGATTTTATCGGACCGGTACACATATATTTTTTCTCTTGGATTTGTTAAAAGTTGACAAGAGAATATTTTAATGGTTCCGGATGAAATGGCATTGATTGTGAGTTTTCAGCAGTTTGTTGTTTTGTTTGTAACTAATGGTTTCATTATAAATAATCCATTTTTTATAAAATTATTACACAAATATTGAATATATTTTACATAGGTTTATAATAAAAAATAAAAATATTTATTTTAATAATCATCGCTTTGTTTTGTTTTATGGCATTAATCACCCTAAAATTATTCAAATAATTCTAAGCAAATAAATTTTGCCTGAAATGAAATGAAAATGAAAGATAAATTCATTAGGAAAATCGACTCTAAATAAATTTATTGTTTTGTGTTATTTCAAATAATATCACGTATAAAAATTAATGCAACTTCGTAAAAAAAAGGTATCAAAACTGATTTTTATATTTAATTATTTTTCCCGATATTTACGTTATTTAAATTTGAAACTTGATTAATTTTTTTTTTTTTAATTTTTATCCTGATCCTATTTATTCTTTGTTATTTTATCACTACACTTTACTTCATTTCTTAATTATTTTTGTGTTTGCCTCATCCTTTTTACATGTCTGGAGTTGGCCTTGTCACGCGTGCACATAATTTTCTACCCTCTCGATCGTTTCAAGGAGGAGATTCTACTTGTTTTCGCGGGCAAATTGCTGCCAGGGTGGAGATAAAAATTTCCAGACGATTAGCCGAAAATCTCTCGCGCGGCGCGGTGCGGTCAGGAGGTGTGAAAAGAAGGGGCACCAATATGCCTTTGCGGCGCTGTCGAGTGGAAAGGCGCAGATTAGACCTGCAGAATTACCCCGTGTGTCTCTTCGGCAGCACGCGCCATTGCACCCACACGACGACTTAATTTTCCGTCGAGACGCAAAAAATCGCCTAACGACCTCTGGTGCGGCAGAGTTCGCGGCGCCAAACCCCCGTTTTTGATGCGGCTCCTCTCGATTTTTCGGTGTTGATTTTTTTAATTCAATAAGCAACTGATCTGTCTCGCGTGATCAAAGGAGCCGCCCGCGAACGGGGGTGCGTTTCGTTAAGTGGCCCTCAAGCAGGATGTGTCGGCGACAGGTGCTCCCTTGTTTGCACAGCCCGCTAAGTGCCACTCTCTCATCCCTCAAAAGCCAAACACCGAGCGTAAAAACACCATACCTTCCCGATCACTATTGCACTGACAGTGGATTTTGTTTTCAGCTCATATTTAGCGGCAAAAAAACGATTTATTTCAAATAAGCGAATTTTCTTAAATAATTTATAATTAAAATTATGGTATTTTTATTCTCATTGTTTATTTTATTTTTATTAAATTATGCAATTATTTTTTCAATATATTCAGTTAAATTAAAAATTACTTAAAAAATGATGAACTTAATTTAGTTACTAACAATAAGTAATTATAATTCATACTTCACCTTCCTTTAACTATCAAATATTGTAATAAAAACATTAAAATATTCATTATTTTAATTCTTTAATTACACTTTTTTTTAAAAAAAAATAATTAAATACCATTGCGGGCGTAACTATTTTAGAATAATTTTGTGATCAACAGTTGATACAAAAATTATTAATTTTAATTGCAAATTTCTTTCAATTTTCACTTTTATTAGAAAAAATTCACGGCAAAAAATCCACAAGGAGGAAAAAGCAGACTAAATTGATTTTATCTTTTGTTATTTTTATATGTTTGTAAACAAAAAAGAGGGCAGCTGAAATAGTTTTTACCGTGAACGTGAACCACGACCTCTTTCAAAAAAAGATTGAAGTTTTAAATGGCAATATTACAAATAATATGAATCGCAGAAATTTTTCAATTTAATTTGTATCCTCACTTTCAATTTAATATAGGAATTCTATTGATTATGTCCAAATTTAAAGTAACAAAATTAGTTATTTAATTATTATTTTGGCAAAATACAATTCAAATACTTCTTTACTTGCTTTTGAACAATTATAAAATGATTGAATTTATTTATTATGATACAAATAATCATTAATTTTGAATGAATACTAATGATCTAATTAAGTATTTACCTTGTCTTGCTTATCGATTACAACCTTGGAAAAAATTGAACCACTTTTCTCCAGCGTGAAATTTGAGCAGCGAATGAGTTGTAATTTACGATTGTGTTCACTGGTGTGTAATCGTGGTCGTCGCGATCATTTCGCACCATGTTGAATTAACACGACGAGCGCGTGGGCGCTGCTCATAGCCCGGCCGCGTGGGCCGTTGAATGCTTAGCACCCATAATGAGGCTTGTTTAACACATCACGCGTCATTGGCCAGTCCTAAATTTCAAATTATTATAATCATTTGGTGGCACAGAAAAAATGTGAGGTCAATAAACAACCACTTTTTTCAGTTTAAATATTTTTCTACAGAAAATTTATCCGAAATAAAAATTTTGGTCGAAGAGAAGCGTATAATTATATTTGTCTGCAATAAAAAAACGTGACATTGATTGAAGAGGGCATCATTTGCTAATTCAAACAAAACTGATGGACCAAGCGTGATTTACGTCTGGTCGGCAATAAATTTGTGCAGACGCCAATTATGAAGACGGGCGAGAGATAATTTTGAGTTATTGCTGGTCGCGGGGTCATCGCGTCTGATTAATTGCAGCCAGACGTTCTCATTGCCGTCCATTTCGATAAGCGTTATAATTTTTGCCCTTTGATAACTTGAATTTTTCGAGAGGAAAAGCAGGGTCAGGAAATTTTGTCAATTGTATACATTATTGGATGGACTTGGGTCGCACGCACGTGCGTCCGCGGAGATGAAACGGTGCGATTGGGCGTCGACAAGAGGACACGGGATGAAATGAGCACTTTATATCCCGCGCTGACAACCGAAGATAAGATCGCTGCGTCGTCTTGACCTCCCAGCAGCTCCTTACCATACCATACGCGCGCTTACAGACATTCCAAATCTGGTACTCATTGTCAAGACCACTGATTATCAGTTAAAGGACCAGAAATTTTAATAATTTATTTCAAATGATTACTTACTTATTAAAAATCTTGAAAATTTTATAGCCAATTTCAAATCTTAAGGACTCCTTATTGACATAGTCAAATCCAGTCTTTACAACAATGGTGATTAAAATTTCAAAAAATCGCAAAAATCTTATTATATTGTTGTAAGGACTTGATTTGACTATATCAATAAGAAGTCCTTAAAAATTCATTTAACTTGGAATATAAATAATAACAAATTTGGGTGAAAGCAAATGTGTTTCCTCCTGTTTTATTTATTTTTATTTTCGTCAACTTCAACAGAGAATTGAAATTCTAAAGTATACATTTCTGTTAACTTTCTAAAACAAAAATTCCTTCCATCTTAAATCTTGAATTTGTTTAAAAATATTTTGAGTTTTTTACTTTCTTTAGTAGACTGAATTATGAAAGATACTGCTATATTCAGAATTTAATCATTGAGTTTCGAATCGCCTCTTTCAACTGTTTTCTCTTAACGAAGCTTGAAATGAGATAACAACTGTTCAACAGAAGCCTTTTCTTTGATTCGGTGCTAATCGTTTATGACGAGAGCTTAAAAAATAAAACAGATAAAAGCAAGGCTTGCAAAAAAATATTAACTCATTTCATTTTTTATAGTAACATCAATATATGTCAATAAATTTGAACAGAAAGGCTACGCTCTGACTTTGAGGTCATTTACATTCTTTTCAATTGGGAAAATTTTTATTTGATAAAAGTTCAATCAAACTCCGATGATGGAATGGAATAAAAACAGGATTTCTTTCAAGAATAATCACCTCTAGCTAAATACACAAAACATAATTTACATTCAATCGGCTCATTTATTGCCTGTTCTCTGTACCATCGAGCATATTGCTAAACAATTCCCAGACGCTAAACCCTGTACCTCGACAGCGAGTTGAGATTCGAGAGACGACCGAGTGGTCGCGCCACGCAACAGATCGGAGTTGAAAGTGGTTCCTGCACCCGCCAGCCGAAAGAGCCACTGTTCACAACTCAGCGAATGAGAAAAAGGAACCTACAGATAACAATGAAAATCAAATTTTCTGAATTTTTTAAAACGTCCTTATATAAATATTATCAAACTTCAATTTTTAAGCAAGTAGATTTGGCTCGAATTAAATTTCTTTTTTTAATTACTAAACTGGCTCGTTTTTACCTGGTTTTTACAACACTTTTAATTTATTATGCTATAAGAAATTGAATTAAGTATTAAATTAAACAAGTTTATTTAATATTAAAAATTTGGTAAGAATTGTTGATGGTTCGGAACCATTCATCAAGATAACGCCTGCTGTGGCGGACTCTAGGCCATCCGCATGACATTTGCGTCACGCCGGTTGCCTACCTGGTTGCATTTGCTCATTTCCTTTCACGCAACAGGACATTTTCATACACGAAATCGAAAAATAAAATTCAACGGCAGATGTTAAGGATAATGAAAGTCAATGACAATCGTGATTTTTGGCACGTCAGTTTATTACAACAAAACCTCCTCTTTATAGTTTTCCATATTTTAACATCTATGCATTTTTTGGTCACGTAGAACTCTTTGAGCAACCCAGTCTCTTCGGAAATTCCCTCTTCTTTGAACTACGTCAAATCATTTTTAAATACCTGCATATTTCCCTAACGGAGGAGAGCGGCAAGAAGACCATGAAATAGATTTGTGAATTGATTTTTCCTTTCAACAACTATATAGATCAACGAAAACGCCAAACATGCATAAGAATCTACACATAAACACTTCAAATATATATTTATATAGCAGCATATTGCTCTTCGCTTAAATTTTTTTCATTCACTTCTTCCCAAAAATGCAGGTTTACCCTGAATAGCTTCGTTTCTGAGTGATATGACATCGAGAGGGACACTTCAGTTTTTTATTTAACATTGTAACATTATATTAATAGGTACAACAGGTTTTGGCACAGCAGACCTGGGCGTATCACATTCATCAAGGACTAGAATTAATTTTTCCTTTTCCACATTTGACAGAAATACATTCATATTTATCCACTCTTGAATATTCCATACATTTTTACTCTTTCAACGAAAAATTATTGCAAATAGAACACTAGTTTTATATTAGGTACACCGAATTTTCAACAAATTGTCATTTTTTTCTCACATTTAAAAGCGTTTTTTTTTTCTCCGCACCTAAATCGTGGTGGTGCACTCGGATTGGTCGGTTGCGGGTCAGATGTCGACGGCCTTGGTCGGGTCCGCCTCGTCCAGCTCGGCGGCCGACTCGACTCGGCTCGGCCGCAGCGGCTCGAAGGCCGTGTGCTCGTTTGCACTGGGGGGCCCCGAGCGGCGGGCGGGGGGCCCGAAATCGGCCTGGGCCCGCCGACGGGCGACCACCTCGTACTGGTTGCAGCAACAACAGCACAGAGGCCCAGCGTGCGCTACCAAGATGCGGCGGAAGGCTTCTCGGAACTCGGTGTTGAAAATCGAGTAGATAACCGGGTTGAATGCGCTGTTTGAATAGCCCAGCCACGTCAGAATCTGTTAAAAATTTCATTTTGAAATTATTTCACATACACTTTAAAATGTTTTGAGGAAAGGGAAAGTTATGAATTCTTAATACTGCTAAATACTAAATTTTCTTCATTTATTTCTCATAATTTGATTAGTTTAAACAAAATTAAATTAAATAATATTTTTAAGCCAAAAAGTGTCCGCTGCAAATATATTATAGCATTTAATTCAAATTAAAAGTTCCAATAAAGTTTGGTTTCTTATTTCACTTCAATTTTATCAATTAAGCACAATTCAGTGTTAAATTTTTTTGTTTTCTTTCTACGTTGATTTTTTTTAAAGTTTGAAATTTGGGCAATTTTTTTTTTTGTTTATCTTTACCTTAAATGCTATGTCAGGAATGCAAGTCTTGCAAAACGCGGCCACAATGTTGACCACGAAGAAAGGAACCCAGCAGACGAGGAACACGCCCATGATGATGCCGACTGTGATGGCCGCTTTGTGGTCTGACACGTGGCACGGCGGCGCCACAGCGGCGCCATTCACGTGCATCGGCCGCGTCACCGCGCGAATGCTCTTGACGTGGCGCTGTGCGTACAAGTAAAGCCGAATGTAAATGCCGACCTGAAAATTGACAACGTTTTATAATTTTAAATATTCAAATCACTTGAAAGTAGTTCAAAAATGTAAAGCTTAATTTTTGAGATAAAACTGGAAATAACAACGTTAATTGTTGATTTTTTAGTATTATTTTTTCCTCCGGGAATTGTGGTTGCCATGTTCCATAAAAAAATAGATAATTATACAGGTAACTCTAAGGATCTCGAGAAATTTACAATAAAGTTATTAACAACACTTTGGATGTGTTTGTTTTCCTGGTTGTTGAAATAAAATTATAATAATTTGCAAAAATAAAAAATAAAATAATTTTTTCAGAATACATTCTGATTTTGTAGAATTATATCTAAAGGATTGAAAAAAAATCTCTTTAAAATTTTTTATAAAATAAAAATGATTTAAATTGAATTTAATTTTTCATAACTAAAAAAAATAACATTTAATTTTTAATAGCAAATAAATGTTTTTTTTATTTATTTTTTACCATGACGACGCAGGGCACAATAAAACTGATGCATGAGGAGACAACAGCGTAGGTGGGTGTCAGGTCAAGAGCGCAGGTCGGCAGGCCATCAGCTGTCACCGGGACCAACTCGCTCAAAGGTGGCCGGTGGAGGTTGAAGGAGATGGGCACGAAACTAATCAGGGCGGCCAAAAGCCACACTCCGGCAATCAGGGCGCAAACCACCCTCCGAGTGACCCAGCGGCCGTAACGCAGAGGGTCCTATGAAAGGTCACGATAATTATCACATCCTACCCTGAGAAAGGGTGCATACCTTTATGTGGATGTACCGGTCCAGGGAGATGGCGCACAAGTTGAGAATGGACGCCGTCGAGCACATGACGTCGAAGGCGACCCAAGTGTCGCAAAACTGAGCCCCGAACGGCCAGTAGCCGAGCAGGTCGTTGACCCCAGCGAAGGTCATCACGAGGGCGGCGACGAAGGCGTCGGCGATCGCCAGGGAGGCGAGGAAAAGGTTGCCGATTTTGCGCAAACTGCGGTCTGTGAAGATTGCAGCGCAGACTAGAGCGTTTCCGGCGATTGACAATGTGATTAGCAGGACAATCAATGTGCCTAAAATTACAAATTAAATTTTGAATTATTATTTTAAATTTTCAAAAATAGTTTTTTTTATAAAAAAAAAATGAAAAAGTAATATTGAAATTTTTTACTTCAAAATATAAAAATTCAATTACTGAATAAAATTTTTAGAGGAAATGAATCAAAGCTAGCCTTTTATTTATTTATTTTTTACGAGAATTTTTATACCATTTAGAAAAAAATTTCAAACTTTTTAAGAAATTATTTTTGGCATACCAAGGAAAATTAGAAAGAGAAGGGAGAAGGGGTCGTCCGCATCAGGGTCCTCGCCACCCCCGCCGTCCAACACAATGGTGGTGCTGTTGTTGCCCTCCATATATGCACTGTCAACCCCTGAAAACCGACACAGACGTTAATTAATAAGCGAATCGATTTTCAAGCAAGATTGATCGAGTATGCACGGGAAAGGGGCCACGCGCGAAAATAAATTTTGATTAATGAGAGTGGAATCTAGTTTACGCGTTCGGATTCGGAGCACATCCCCTTTACTCTCGCGGGCAGACCCTCCATGATTAAAAACAATTAATGGGTCTTAAAGAGAGCGGCATCGGCGCTCAACTTTACGGCGAGTGCAATTTGCCACGGAAATGGTGTCACTTTTTATTGGGATATCAGGAGGCTGTTAAAAGAGAAAAAGAGCAGGGTCATTGTGAGGGATGATGCCGATGGCTTCAAAAAAGACACCCTCGAAGAGAAAAAATTACGAGCGAGTAACATTTCCGAGAACGTTAATTGTCATGATTCTTTAATATTTGATGGAATGTTTGAAAACTTTTAAAAGCTTAAAGTTTTGTAATTTGCAGATAATGAAAGTTGTAAGGCCATTATTGTAACAAAAAGTGGAAAAAGTTCACAAGTATAAGTGGTTGAGGCCATATAATTTAAATTTATTTACGCGAACGACTCTACGATAATGGCTTTCACCTTGAACAAACTTCGTCCTGAAACTTATCAATTTGGACTCAAGAACTGATCTGGATCGTTTGACTCATCAAATTAATTATATTATTAAAAGATTACTGAAAACTTTGAAGTTTTTACATTTTTCTTGGAAAATATTTTGAATGTTTTATATTTTTGCAATGCATTAATGGAATTTTGGTTTGTTCCTATAAAAACTTTAAATTCCATTAACGCACACTACACACAATTCCATCAGGCTGCATTTTAGAAACATTCAGTGCAATTTAAAAACTTATTTATATGGTCAAATTGTGATGGAAATATGTCAGAAAACTTAATTAAAATTCGAGAGAGCTAGAAGTATTTACTTCTTCTTTAAATTTTTTATTTCTTAAAAAAAAATTAGTCTAATTTTGATTTGTTTTAAACAAAATGAATTATTTGTCTGAATTTCCTTTTTGCATCGATGAATTCAGATAAGATTGTAACCCTTTAGAAATAGAATATCTGGGGCTCTTCAGGGCTGAGCTCAATTCTCTCAGCACCTGTCCGTGTCACATATCATGACAAAACAGCGCGCTTTTGAAATTCCCGCAAGAATTGCCACCGTTAAAAGCGAATTTGTGTCCCAGAAATAATGTATTCAGAAGTTGAACGAGAAAAGGCGATCCCTGCTCAGTTGTCATCGATCGGGCTCGCGGATGACGGATCTTGTCATCGTCGGGCCGCATTATGCTTTGCGACGCCTCGTTAACTTAACTGCTGCCTTCAAACCTGCCTAATGGTTATAAATCGCGAGGTAGAAAGAGAGAGAGAGAGAGAGAGAGAGAAAAAAGGGCACGATTGATTTCCTTTTACGGTTGCGAATTTTTTATTCACTTGCCCATCTTGATTCACTGCGCTCGAGGTCGCGACGGTCATTTAACAACTCCACACTGGTTGCTCTTTTGCTTTCTGTAATGGTCCGCAGGGAATAAGTTTCCGTTCAGAAGAGAAAACATAAAATATCAGTGAGCTATACATTTCAAGTGGGATAAAAAATATCCCACTATTTATTTTTTTCTCCATTCTAAAGAAACTAAAAGAAATTGTAAATTAATGAATCGGCAATGGATATAAATTTTGTGATAATTAATTTCTTTCATCTTTTAGTATTTAATTTGGATTTTTTTTAAGCATTGAACTGTTACGTTACGATTTTTCAAAAATTATTTGATTTAACAATTTTATTCTCCACCTCTTTTTCAATTTAACCTTCAGATTTTTGTTTTTCGGAAAAAGTATTTAATCTGTAAAATATGTCAGTATAATGTTAGGGATGATGAATTTAATATGTAGCACATTTCACTCTTGTGTGGGCAAAGCAGCCCCGAGCCATCGCCGCAGCTTCCTTTTCGCATCGCCCGGTCGCTTTGAGACAAGCACTTAAAAGGATGCGACCCTCTTTATACACGCGAAATGTATCCGTATCGCATTCTCGACGGCGCGCCTCAAATAACGGGTGAGTGACATCTCGGGCATCAGACACCCACAACTGCTTCGCCGAACGGACGGTCCATCGATCACCACGGATTATGTGGACGAGATCGGTTATTGGAAGCGAAATGCCCTTCAAATTATACGTGTGGAGGCACAAGAGCTAGGGCCTTCTTAGAATAGCCACATTTGCAATAACATTTTGTACATCAAAGGTAGAATTATTGTGGAAAATGTGACGCTAGACTGAAGATTCCAAGAAATTTAGTTAATGATTATTTTTACAACCAGACATACATTTAGGCCAGGAAATTTTGAAGTTGGCATTGCTTCTTTAAAATAAATGGCAACAAAAATTGTTTGATAGCTTTAAATTAAATTGCCATTGACAAGGACGTGTGACCCACCACAGCATGTTCTTTTAGTGTTTTAGAAATTAGAACAATTATATATTCTAGATTAATAAATATAATTTTTTTTAACGAAAAAGCGGATGTTTCTAGCACTTGATAAGTAATGATGTTAAAAAATTTAAAAAGAAGAACTATAAATTTAGATAATACAGTATTAATGAAATTTTTTATATTATTTTTCATAAATCCAGAACGGATTCTAAGAGAAAGCTATAAATTTAATTAATATTCAGAATCTTGTCACCTTTTTTTACTTTTTACTAAATAAGGAAGGAGCTATTTATCAAAATATCAAAATTAATCCTTTAAATTTTTTAAATGCATTTTCTGATGACTTGATTCGCCTCAGTTTCGAGTTTCGAAATGTAAACCTAGCGTGTCCACTTGAGCTATGTTCACTAGTTTTTGCGGTTCCCTTGGCAGCCCAGGTCGATACACGTTCCAAATTTGCATATTCGCGGTCCGCGCGCAAAGGGACGTGTGTGTTTGTGTTGGGGCGACGATTGAGAAACGAGAGATGGAAATTATGCAGGCCCGCGGCGCACCGGCGGCTGCTCCCGCGGTCAATGGCCATGGCGCTGCCGCCAAATGCAAATCGCACCAAAGAGCTCAGCGAAAGCGAGAGTTGAGAAAGGGCAGAATTTGGTCATATATGAGCAAGCCAGCGAGTTTATATGTAATCGCACGGCTGCTGATCAAAGTGCACTGACGTCAAAAGCGTAATAATATATCAAAGGGCATAATGTTGAATTCATTTTGAATACTTTTACATGAGGCGATGTTTTTCATTTGAAGTTAAATTATCCGGTTGATTGATCAAGAAGTGCCTATAGGGAAAATAAAATGGAGCACTCTCTATAGTTATGACTAATGGATGATTCACTGAAAAGTGAGATTGACGGAAATTTGTGGTTTCATTTCAAGAAATTCAAGACAAATATTTAATTTTTTATTTATTTTCTCATTATGTTTTTTTTTTCATTTTATTAATTCAAAGGAAATTGCATTGTGGCGCGATTATTTATCACAAACAAGGAAGTTTCTATTATCAAATACGCAGCCAAGATTGCTCCAATCTGGAAACGCCATATTTATCTTGGTGTTTGGATTTTCTTTTTATTGAACGCAGTACTGTTTCTGTGAGCGGTTTTGAAAATGGGTGGCTGTTACAGCAGATACAGAGAGCAGCATCGTCCAAGCAGTTTGTTCCTCGACGATGGACCAGGTATGTTGTTAAAAGTGTTAAAAGTATCAATTCAATCATCATGATTTTTTTTAAATTCAGTGCGACGAGGAAGTAACAACATCTACCAGACTTTGAGGCCCTTTGGAAGTAAACCAAACTATAGTATGAAATGACGTTTAAGATTCAATTTAATTAATTTTCCGCTTTCGGTTCAGATATTCTGTCAAATCCTCCAGTGCAAGCTGGTCAAAAGGTAGTGATCGGCATTCATAACTTCCATGCCGAGGAGAAGGGGGATATCTCATTCAATCGGAATGACAGGATGGTCGTCGTTGACGAATCAGAGTGAGAACATTGTTATTCAAATTTTTGAATAATTTTATATTTTAAACCCCAAAAAATCTAATTTTGTTTTCAAAGTTGCTATGATTAAAATTTATATTAAAATTACAATTAATTGATCATTTGTGGAAAATTGCTACTTTTCCATTCTAATATTTTAAATTTCCCAGTAATAATTTAATATTTCCTAACTGTAATGACGTAATAAATTTATTCATCGTGAAATTTTATGGTCTTTTTAATTGAAAGTTGTTGACAAATTTTACTCTAAATAAAAAAAACTCTGGAAAATAATATTATTTATTCACAATTATTATACCTGACTGAAGTTAGCGATAGCGATAGCGTTAGCAGCGACGGAAAAAAGCAGGGTGCCAACCTAAGAAATTTGGAGGTTGATTCAAACACAATATTAATAGTTTAGGTCAAAACCCACCCTCTCAGTAACAAGTTATGTGGCTTAAAATGTTCTTCTTTGACCCTGTTATCATTTTTCGACGTAAAAAACATTTGCATCCCCATACCGGAATTAAATTAAAAAATAAAAGATTTTCACCCTCCACTTTATCCGTGAAAAATCAATGTTATCTAAATTTAAATAAAACCCACCCTCTCACGGGGTTCATATTCACCATACTGACGTAAAAAATGACGAGAAACAAGATGTTGAGCTGAAAAACTTTTGCATGTCACCCCTTCATCCCCTATTTTCGAAATTGAAAATTTGAGGGGTGGTTTCGGTCAAAACCCACCCTCTCAGTAACAAGTTATGTGGCTTAAAATGTTCTTCTTTGACCCTGTTATCATTTTTCGACGTAAAAAACATTTGCATCCCCATACCGGAATTAAATTAAAAAATAAAAGATTTTCACCCTCCACTTTATCCGTGAAAAATCAATGTTATCTAAATTTAAATAAAACCCACCCTCTCACGGGGTTCATATTCTTAATACTGACGTAAAAAATGACGAAAAACAAGATTTTGAGCTGAAAAACTTTTGCATGTCACCCCTTCATCCCCTAATTACAATTTTAAAATTTTAAGGGGTGGTTTCGGTCAAATCCCACCCTCTCAGTAACAAGTTATGTGGCTTAAAATGTTCCTCTTTGACCATGTCATCAGTTTTCAATGTAAAAACATTTGCATTCCCATACCGGAATTAAATTAAAAAATAAAAGATTTTCACCCTGCACTTTATCCGTGAAAAATCAATGTTATCTAAATTTAAATAAAACCCACCCTCTCACGGGGTTCATATTCTTAATACTGACGTAAAAAATGACAAAAAACAAGATTTTGAGCTGAAAAACTTTTGCATGTCACCCCTTCATCCCCTAATTACAATTTTAAAATTTTAAGGGGTGGTTTCGGTCAAATCCCACCCTCTCAGTAACAAGTTATGTGGCTTAAAATGTTCCTCTTTGACCATGTCATCAGTTTTCAATGTAAAAACATTTGCATTCCCATACCGGAATTAAATTAAAAAATAAAAGATTTTCACCCTCCACTTTATCCGTGAAAAATCAATGTTATCTAAATTTAAATAAAACCCACCCTCTCACGGGGTTCATATTCTTAATACTGACGTAAAAAATGACAAAAAACAAGATTTTGAGCTGAAAAACTTTTGCATGTCACCCCTTCATCCCCTAATTTCAATTTTAAAATTTTGAGGGGTGGTTTCGGCAATAACCCGCCCTTTTAGGCACCAAAACTACGACCTTCAATGTTACTCTTTGACTCTTTTATCAGTTTTCGTGGGGAATATCAAATGCATCCCTCTTACTGAATATAAGAAAAATTTATAGATTTTCACTTTTGAATTTTTTTTTTAAAATCTTAGTGAAGCCCATCCTCTTATAGAATTCATATTCACAAGTTTGTCATAATAAAAAATGACGAGAAAGAAGAATCTGAGATAAAAAAATGATTTCATCTCACCTCTTCCGCTGCTTATTCCAAAAATTTTTTATAGTGGTTTCGTCAAGAACCCACGGAACACACCCTCTGCGGCAACCAAAAACTGACTCAAAATGTTACAGTTTGACCCCTGTTTCAGTTTCTGTAGAGAATATCTATTGCATCCCCACACCTGAAATTATTGTATCAATCTGTAAATTATTGTTATTGCTTAAAATAGCATTCTTTTTTTTTAAACGGCCTCGTTCGTGTATTAATTTTTTACTAATCTACTTTCAAAATGGACTGTTAAACAACCAAGATAAATAATTATTAAATATTTTTTCTGCAAAAAGTTTTACTGAAACTGTTCAAGAAAAACTTATCTTAACAAGAGTAAAATATGTACGTATACAAAATTATTCGTTCTTAACCTGAAAGAAATTTATATCATTCATAAATTCCATTGAATACCATCTCACCCTAGAGTGCATTCTACAGTTATTTAAATATTTAAAAGTAAAAAAAGTGAAAATTTTTCAACCTGTAGACTTGTAGAGATTGCTTAATATTAATAAAAAAAAGGAATAATAAATGGGGCCCACGCAACAGATTTTTCGTAGAAAAATCTAGAAATATGGCTGAACAGATATGTGCGTTGATTTCAATAATGAAAAAAAAAGAAGAAATTGGGCTGCAATTCTCATTTTGGTTGAAAATTATATGAATAATGGACCGTTGTGGTTTGAAATTGGTTGATTGATTTTTCCGTGAAACATATAAGAATATCATAATTTCTTTTTTTCATTATTCTAACCCAAAAATTTGAAAAAAAAAATCACGAGGAAAATATTGATTAATATTATTATAATATCATTTGGGGATGAGGCCTAATATAAAACAAAATATTTGAGGAGAAAAGGGTTTGATTGTTGTTTCCTCGCGAATAAAATTGAGAAGGCGCGGATAAATAATTTGAATTTAAGTCGGATTGTGTTTTTCGAGTTGCTTAATGTTAGCCAAAAATAATATGACAATACAACAATATGTTTATGATGCGCCTGCAAACATAATTCATGAGCTTCAAAATTATTTTATTATTCAAATTTTTGTAAAAAATGGATATAAAAAGCGTTTACAACAAATTACTGTATTGATGACAAAATTATTTTGTGTAGTAATTGTATTCAAAAAAATTTCGGCAGCAGCCAGCAGCCGAAACACATACAGAAGGATATTTTTTTTCTAAAACAATTAATAGCTTGAAGATCACCAAAACTATCAAGGAAAAAGTCTTTAAAAACACCACGAACCCACCCTCCGTAAAGAAGTTCTACCTCAATACGATAATTAGTTAAAATGTATTTAAAATTTATTTCAAAATTCCCGTATGGGGATGCAAATGTTTGATATGACGGACAAACTGATAGGAGGGTAAAAGAGGAAAATTTTGAGCCACATAACTTAAATTTTAATTTTTCATGCACAAAATGCAGGGTGAAAATATTCTATTTTTTAATTTTATTCCGGTATGGGGATGCAAATATTTTTTACATTTGAAACTGATAACAGGGTCAAAGAGGAACATTTTAAGCCACATAACTTGTTACTGAGAGGGTGGGTTTTGACCGAAACCACCCCTCAAATTTTAAATTTCGAAAATAGGGGATGAAGGGGTGACATGCAAAAGTTTTTCAGCTCGAAATCTTGTTTCTCGTCATTTTTTACGTCAGTATGGTGAATATGAACCCCGTGAGAGGGTGGGTTTTATGTAAATTTAGATAACATTGATATTTCACGGTTAAAGTGGAGGGTGAAAATCTTTTATTTTTTAATTTAATTCCGGTATGGGGATGCAAATGTTTTTTACATTTGAAACTGATAACAGGGTCCAAGAGGAACATTTTAAGCCACATAACTTGTTACTGAGAGGGTGGGTTTTGACCGAAACCACCCCTCAAAATTTTAAAATTGAAAATAGGGAATGAAGGGGTGACACGCAAAAGTTTTTTAGCTCGAAATCTTGTTTCTTGTCATTTTTTACGTCAGAATGGTGAATATGAACCTTGTAAGAGGGTGGGTTTTAGTTTAATTTAGAATATTTTATTTTTTTGCGCACAAAGTGCAGGGTGAAAATCGTTTATTTTTTAATTTAATTCCGGTATGGGGATGCAAATGTTTTTTACATTTGAAACTGATAACAGGGCCAAAAAGGAACATTTTAAGCCACATAACTTGTTACTGAGGGGGTGGGTTTTAAACGAAACCACCCTTCAAATTTTAAAATACGAAATTAGGGGATGAAGGGGTGACATGCAAAAGTTTTTTAGCTCGAAATCTTATTTCTCGTCAATTTTTACGTCAGTATGGTGAATATGAACCCCGTGAAAGGGTGGGTTTTAATTAAATTTAGATAACATTTATTTTTCACGGATAAAGTGCAGGGTGAAAATCTTTTATTTTTTAATTTAATTCCGGTATGGGGATACAAATGTTTTTTACAACGGAAATTGATAACAGGGCCAAAAAGGAACATTTTAAGCCACATAACTTGTTACTGAGAGGGTGGGTTTTGACCGAAACCACCCTTCAAATTTTAAAATACGAAATTAGGGGATGAAGGGGTGACATGCAAAAGTTTTTTAGCTCGAAATCTTATTTCTCGTCAATTTTTACGTCAGTATGGTGAATATGAACCCCGTGAAAGGGTGGGTTTTATTTAAATTTAGAAAACTTTGATTTTTCACGGATAAAGTGCAGGGTGAAAATCTTTTATTTTTTAATTTAATTCCGGTATGGGGATGCAAATGTTTTTTACAATAGAAATTGATAACAGGGCTAGAAAGGAACATTTTAAGCCACATAACTTGTTACTGAGAGGGTGGGTTTTGACCGAAACCACCCTTCAAATTTTAAAATACGAAATTAGGGGATGAAGGGGTGACATGCAAAAGTTTTTTAGCTCGAAATCTTATTTCTCGTCAATTTTTACGTCAGTATGGTGAATATGAACCCCGTGAAAGGGTGGGTTTTAATTAAATTTAGAAAACTTTGATTTTTCACGGATAAAAGTGCAGGGTGAAAATCTTTTATTTTTTAATTTAATTCCGGTATGGGGATGCAAATGTTTTTTACAATGGAAATTGATAACAGGGCCAAAAAGGAACATTTTAAGCCACATAACTTGTTACTGAGGGGGTGGGTTTTGACCGAAACCACCCTTCAAATTTTAAAAAACGAAATTAGGGGATGAAGGGGTGACATGCAAAAGTTTTTTAGCTCGAAATCTTATTTCTCGTCAATTTTTACGTCAGTATGGTGAATTTGAACCCCGTGAAAGGGTGGGTTTTAATTAAATTTAGAAAACTTTGATTTTTCACGGATAAAGTGCAGGGTGAAAATCTTTTATTTTTTAATTTAATTCCGGTATGGGGATGCAAATGTTTTTTACAATAGAAATTGATAACAGGGCTAGAAAGGAACATTTTAAGCCACATAACTTGTTACTGAGAGGGTGGGTTTTGACCGAAACCACCCTTCAAATTTTAAAATACGAAATTAGGGGATGAAGGGGTGACATGCAAAAGTTTTTTAGCTCGAAATCTTATTTCTCGTCAATTTTTACGTCAGTATGGTGAATATGAACCCCGTGAAAGGGTGGGTTTTAATTAAATTTAGAAAACTTTGATTTTTCACGGATAAAAGTGCAGGGTGAAAATCTTTTATTTTTTAATTTAATTCCGGTATGGGGATGCAAATGTTTTTTACAATGGAAATTGATAACAGGGCCAAAAAGGAACATTTTAAGCCACATAACTTGTTACTGAGGGGGTGGGTTTTGACCGAAACCACCCTTCAAATTTTAAAAAACGAAATTAGGGGATGAAGGGGTGACATGCAAAAGTTTTTTAGCTCGAAATCTTATTTCTCGTCAATTTTTACGTCAGTATGGTGAATTTGAACCCCGTGAAAGGGTGGGTTTTAATTAAATTTAGAAAACTTTGATTTTTCACGGATAAAGTGCAGGGTGAAAATCTTTTATTTTTTAATTTATTTCCGGTATGGGGATGCAAATGTTTTTTACAACGGGAACTGATATATGGGTCATTAAGAAACATTTTAAGCCGCCTGCTGCGTTTCTGAGAGGGTGGTTTCATTTCATTTCTATTATTATTGTGTTTATATCAACTACCACATTTCTTAGGTTGGCACCCTGCTTTTTTCTGTAGCTAGCATCGCTATCGCTATCGCTAACTTCAGTCACGTATTATTATTATTATTATTTTTTTTTAATAATTAATTTAATTAATTTTTAAAGCAGGAAATTATAAATTTTTATGAAGGTACATTGCCTCTTTAATTTGGTATAATAATGTCATTGTTTGATGTGTAAGCAAATTTCACGTCTCTCGCGCAGACCTTTTTGTTGCTCATTAGAAAAAAATGTTTGCAGTCCAGGCTGGTTGAAGGTTCATCACATGGCGAATGGTCGAACAGGATATATCCCGGCTAATTATGTCATCAGGGAGAGCAAGCGCCCTATAGAGAACGAAGAGTAAAAATTTATAGAATCCTGTCATTACAAAATTGTGTAATTAACTTGTGTCTGTAGATGGTTTTTCTACAAAATCCCTCGCAAACAGGCAAAAGAATTGCTCCTGAAGAAAGGAAATCCGCGTGGGACGTTCCTTATCAGAGTTTCGGACAGCAATCCGAATGGCTACGTTTTGAGCGTTCTAGACAAAGTGGACAAGGAATACCATGTTAAACACTACAAGATAAAAACGACCACTGACCAATCGCTGTACTACATCTCCTTAAAGTACGAGTTTCTAGACGTGCGAGGAATTGTTAAAGCCTACAGCGGTATGAAATTAATCAAATTAATTGAATATCGAGCTTAAATTATTTTGAAATCTAGATAGCAAATCCGGCCTTTGCTGCAAGTTGACTCAACCGTGTCCCAGGGAAATGGTAGATTTTTTATCTCTTTACCGTAGAGACCAGTTGGAAACTGATCCTAATCAGTTATGCCTAACCAAAGTTGGGAAAGTTTGGCTTGGTATAAACAACCATTAAAAAAAGCAATTAACTTAATTAATCTATTTGAAGGTTCAAACAAAAACCAGCAAGTGACAGTCAAAAAGCTTGGGTCTCCGGAGGCCTTTTCAGAGGAGGCGGAAATGATGAAAATGTTCTGCCACAAGAACTTGGTCGCCATGTATGCAGTTTGCTCAAATGACGAGCCAATGTACTTCATCCAAGAGTTCACAAAAAATGGGTCTCCGCTTGACGGAGAAAACCAAAATGGCCTAATTCATATTTCATTGCAGGTTTGTCAAATAAAGTAATAATTAATTTTTTTCATTAATAATTGTTCTGCCACAGATTGCCAGTGAACTGCTTGGAAAAAATAATCCTGACCCACGCATTTATTAATGTCTGATTGATGGCGGAATTCAATTATTATAAGAAATGACACTAACCCAAGTATATTTATAGTTTACATACATTATTAATTAAATTATCTTCATAAGAATCTCTATATACTAAAAATTTACCACTTTAAAAGGAAATTTTTTATTTTATTCACATTGCGTAAATATTTATTAGCCTCTATTTGGATTTGTATTAAACGTCCATATAACTACATTAAAAAAATTACTTTTCTTTTTGAGTATATCAGTGTAAATTTTTTTTACGATATAAAATTCTGTATAAATCTATTATTCAATGAATTTTTTTGTAATACGTTGAACAAGATTTGAAAAGTTGTGGCAGTTCTATACAAAAAATATATGAGGACTGGGTCCACAGTTTTTTCAGTCTCATCTAAAAATCGATTGCTGTTTTCTTGCTGCAAGCGAGCAAAGTTCGTTGACGCTGGACCGCCGAAACAAATCTCTCCGCGTCAAGTGCTGTGCGGTGAAGGAAAAAGAAAGATTAAGGGCGAGAAATCCAATCTGTCGTCCGCTGGCCGGCTGGGTGCAGAAATTTGATTTCCCCCCTGCTATTTTATTCCAGCTCGACCCAAAAAGCGGCGACTCGGCAGTTTTCCGTTGGTCAGCCGGCCGGAAAAATAGTCCACCCTTTCTTTTTAAAAGTGGATATGCGGCGAGCAAAGAAATACAGAGCCACATTTATCAATGCAGAGAAAATTTCACATTTCCTTTTCATAAACTAGGATGAGGATAAGAGTTCATCATGAAGTAATTTCAAGAAAAATCTTAAGTTAAAAAGGGTTCTCCTGTCTTACTTTGTTGCAACTTTTATAATATATAAATTAACAGTGGGACGTCAGGGTGGTTTATATTTGGGGCGGAGAGAAACGTGAGTGTGCGTTTATTGCCCGACGGGGTCGTAAAAGATGCTGCAGCCACTGAATTAAAAGAAGACGCAATTTTTCCAACGTCAGCTCCAGAGAGCAAAATATTATAGCGTCCGAGGTTAAAGATTACAGCACCGCTGAGGCGTTTGACAAAAAGAAAAAACTCGAAAGTAATGATATTAAAACTCTTTTTCCTGGAAAAAATTGTTTGGAGTTTTCGAACGTGTCAAAGCCGATTATTTTCCACTCGAATTCGGAACGAGTTTTCCGTCTCTGGTGGAGCGAGGGCTATGCAGCCTGTTGGCCCGTGGTGTCCTACCGGTTGCATATGTGTGGGGGAGAACGACGGGAGAGGAAAGTTGTCGTGATCGTTTTATCATTTGCGCAGGTGGTGCGTCATGTGTGCTCGCGAGCAAGCGGGGCGGAAGAGCAAAAGTTGTTGGAAATTTCGCTCCGACGCTCATCCCCCGAAACTCGAAAAGGATGACTAGGGTGGAGAGAGTGAGTGGGCTCTTTTTTTGCGTTATGAAGAAGAGTCAGACAGATGATTTTTCTAAACGGACTAACGCATCTGGAGGTAATATTTTGCTAGAACACATGAATGGAAAGGAAAAGTCACGTTTCTCGTTTTTCATTCTATAACTTTCTAAAATAATTGAAAAAAAAAACAGAATCCGCATTTTGAAGTTTTTAGTTCTTTGGGAATCAGCTTGTTTGTTTCCGTATTTATGAGCCTCAACTTATTTATTACATAAAATATAATAATAATAAATTTTATTAGAAAATTAAATCAAAATCTATTGTAGTTTACTATTTTTGCTTTTGGTGGTCCTTTGATTTGTAATTAATTTCAAATTATTATCATGAAAAGGGCTGATTAATTATTTAAAACTTTATTATCACTTATCGAACTTAGTATCAAAATTTAATATATTTTCACTGTAAATAAATAAGATTCTTAAAGATTATAAAATTGTGTGAATAAAATATTAAATATTCTGCTTTTTCTTTCAGTGAAAGCACGAAAGAAGAACAATCGATTGACACGTCATTATGCGGGTACTGATAATCCTTTTCGACTTTCGGAGCAGCTCCTTTGTATAGAATCAAATTCTGCAGTTTTTTGCCGCTCTGAGCGATCTCTTGTCGGCTCTTGACGCGCAGCGGAGGAAAGCAGTTTAGACAGGGGAACAAAGCGGCGTGTCGCCTCAGCCTCACCTGCGGGCCTTGTTTGCATGATAAAAACACACGACGCAAAATCCACCGGTAGGACCGTCGTGTAGGGTACCGTTTCAAAGTTTTTAAAATACAAAATACCCAACAAAAATTTAAATTTAAAATAATATCAATTTTAAAAAATTTTTGAAGGCATAAATATCTCTTACATTATTATATAAGAATTGTATATTATTATTAGAATAAAGGTTGAATTATTATTTCCTGAAAAATTACAAACAAATTAGAAATTTTCTAGATTAATCTCTCTTTGAGAGGAAAAATAATTTTTATAGAAAAAAAGATGGCAAAAACAGTTAAGTTTATGAAACTAAAAACCATTCAAATTTTCATGATATCAACAATGAATAAGACACTTATTTGACTATCTAGTTATTATTCTTCCTATTATGACTAAAAATCCATATTCATTTTATATTCCATTATATTCATTGAAAATTTGTTCTGATAAGATTTATTTTAAAAAGATCAAGTTTTATTACATTTTATGATACCATATAATGTAGAAAAATGAGCTTTTTATTTTCTTTTAAAATTGAGAAGATTGTATGAAACACTAATAAAATGAAGCAAAATTACAGCACTTTATAGGATAATGGCTGGATTGGAGAACGACATTTAGCGCCTGCACGACGGTACAGGAGGCCCATTTGGTCGCGTTAACGCCTCCATTCTTCTTCCTTTAGCTAACCCGGATGGATGGATAGATGCAAAGTGAAATTCGCAGGGAAAGTGCGTGTGTTGTGCGCGCGTGGCGGGGTGGAGGGAAAATTCCCCAGAGACGGGATGGCTGCTTGACACCGAGAAGCAATTTAAAAAGCGGTCGAACCGCCGCCGGCCGCGACGATGCGAAAATAAATTCGGCGGATTTTGGTACACGCGCGCCTAGCCTGGCAAGATGGATAAGCAACCACCCTTTTTTGCCGCCGACGCATATTCAATATTGGCCCCGTCGCAAAAAGCGCTTTTAATCCGGCGAAAAATCCAATTACTCGAAGAATGCCGCGAATTTTGAAATGATCCCTCTTTGATGCGAACTTCCTAATTGAGGGCCGGACAGAGAGAAATTGAATCGTGCGGGTCTGCTGCGTGTTATTGTAGATTGGGCTCTTTGTTTTCCACCGTCATTCCGGTTGGCCGAAACTATTCCCATTAGACCTCGCAGATGCTCTTTCGCCGTTTATTATCTCTCTCTACTCGGCTGCTTTACGCAGCATTTATTGTTGCTCGCCGCAAAGCTCTGCCCTGGCGATTACTTCCGCAACTTTTCGCACGCCCGACCTCTGACTCTGACCACCAACAATGGTTTGCCATCGTCCGCCGAGATAGTGGGAAGTAGTTGAATATTAAATAAAGCACGCGGTTGCTTAAGCAATTTTACAAAGTTAAAGCTTAAAGCTTGGATGCACTTCATCTTTTATTTAATTATCTGACTGTACCAAATTTTCAGTTGGTCTTCCACAAAATGGCTTTTCACTTATTTATATTTATAATATACGATTTCCACAAACTGAAGTAGCTTATACAATTATTGAAAAAAAAAATTGAAAAGAAATATAATATTTTCGTTATTCTAAACCTCTTTTGGTGTCAGCTTTCCTTTATCTTTTCATTGAGGCTAAGCCTTGAACTTTTCATAAAAAATGTCATTTCTTTAAATTTTAATTCTGTATTCAACAGACAAATTTAAAGTTAAAACTGAAACAGAACAGATCAATTGTTGTTTTCCTTTTTTATGAATCTTTATTAGCATAATCATATCAAGTCATAACAACAATATGAGCTACTTTTGATACTTATACGACAACAAACCATCATAGTTGTGAAGACTTGAATTCTTTAATCATACCAGCATTCAAGTATCGCAACAATCACAGCAATTTTTAATTGTGTCCTAGTGATCTGATTGGTTACAAATTCACTTTTATCCAAGAATAAAGCTTAAAAAGCAGGTTTCATTGTTACAATGCACCATGCAGCCTTGAATCATATTATCATATTTTAAACAATTTCAAATGTTTTTATTATGAAGAGCGAATGAAAATAAATTTTTAAAAAATAACCAGCATTTATTTGCACTCACAATTATTTGAATCAAATTATTTTTAATATGTATAAATATTGCAATTGAGCATCAAAATAAATTGTGCTCACTCAATTTTATTGTAAATAGTTTTCGTTTTGAAATAAAATGAGCAAGTAATGCAAAAATAATATTGAACTGGCTATAAATATAATTGCATCAATTTAAAATTGTGTTAAAACAACCTCCCAACTTTGAACACGAGTTGGTAATTGAATCCAACGTGATAACCAAGAATAGAGTGTTACAACTGCTCGCTTGAGGCAGTTTGATGTCGATCAGTTTAGTATGGACAGAGAAGAGCGTTGGAAAACACTCTGGGCAACGACGAAGAGCGCCTATTGCCTTTTCATTAGGCTTTTCGTCCACTATAGCTTCTTCTTCATTCGCACTTTCCCGTCCGCCGGCTGTTTTCTCTGGCGCGTGAAAGCCATTTGCTCTTTGAGAGGCCGCTCTTTCGAACTACGTCCAATTTCTGGATTTATTTTTCCCCATTACGGCAAATCCTCTTTGAACACCCCCACCCCTATTATGGCTGGAATCAATTTGCCCATCGATTCGCAAGACGCCGGGCTCGTTTTTTCATGTACCACGTGTGCAGGTTTTTGGAAAAACTGAGACTTTCCGGAAAAGTATACGTTAGATCCCTTTGAAGAAATTGCGTCTCTCTCTCTTTATCAAGAAGATCAAAATTTATATATTCGACCGCCTCCCCCGAAGCGGAAGTAACGATAAAGATAATTAGAGAGCAGCGGGTAGAAAGGGAAGCCAAGCAAGTGCTAATCAGCGGCCTCATCTGCCCAGGACCATTGTCGACGCACACAGACTGCGCAAATCCATTATTCCCTGCAGCACCAAAAGGTCGTGAAAATATTTCTTTATATTCCACTCGTGCGGCAAACCTTTGAAATGAACATTTTGGTTTGCGGTTAATCAATTTATTGATAATTACAAAGTAGCTGGTATACAGACAGGATAAAATCCAGTATTTGTCAATACATTGATTGTTCTATTGTCAATATTTACTCAAAAAGAAACAACGTTTTAAAAATATTTAAAAAGCATAGGAAACCTCCAAAATGTAATTTAAATTACAAAATATTTTAAATGGAAAAATTCACCCTTTTTTAGTTAAAATTTTGATTTTTTTTTCTGTGGCACGTTCATCATTCATCACGTTTATAAAAATTGGGGCACCCAAACAATGATGTTTTTTATTTCCATTTCATTATTCCAGTCTTTTGTTATTTCGAGTAAAATTTATATTTTTAACTTCCTATCACGGGCACTTGTTCTCTAATCTTTTGATGTTTCCTGATTATTTTACAAAATTTCCCAACGTCCATTTCCTCTTCCTGGCGCAACACCCTAATTAAAAAACAAACAGCCCCGTCTTCTCTCCGGCCTGTATATTTGCATGTTTTTGGCCGACGTGAAATTTACGTCTGGAGAGTAGAGAGCGCACCCTTTCCTTTTCCTCCCGCTTTTTTGTCCAGCGCGCATGAATTATAAATAACACAATTTTGCGCGCGTGCCGAGCGAGCAAGAGAGCGAACAGAAATATTAAAATGAAGGGCGGCAACAGGCTATGGAGCAATAATACGAGATCCCTACGAGGATGGAAATTTCGGAGAACGCCGCAATGGCATAAAAATTAACCGAAAGCACTTTAGCTAATTGTTCTGTTTAAAATTAAGTATTTAATTGGCCATGTGGATAAACTAATTCAATTATTGCAGTGTAATTTATTTCAACCCCCCGGGTTAATAAAGTTTTAAAGAATTTTTAAACTGTTGAGCCGTATAACTTTGGCCAACCTATGCTTTATTCCAACTTCTGTCCTATAATCGAAATGATAAAAATTTATGAGCTGCTGCTGTGGCAGCGACTTGGAAACATTATTTTTCTCTGCCGAGTATTTCTTAAAAGATTAGCTGATGAATAATGAATGGATGCGAGCTACGTTTTCCACGGCAAAGGAACAAGGAAAATACGAATCTAGCAAGAGGCTTATGGTTTATGCGCTTGATTCTTTTTCTCTAAAATCTAAAGAGAGAGCGAATTTCTTTCAGTTTTAGAGCAATTTCTTTAAATAAAGCAAAAAAAGGTGGGTGGAAAAGAATTTTTTGAGAAGTTTTCATCTTTTCACTAAACGTCATAAAATTTCAAGAACTAATAAACCTAATGGAAAAAGTCTGAACTCTGTGGCAATTTTCGCAGGGCTTGTCATTCTTTAGAAAAAAGTCGCCTAATCAAACGGAGTCGCTCGAATTTCTCTTCTCAACTCTGCTCGCTTTTTATTTCTCTGCGACGGGTGCGAATCAACGTGAATTTGCTCAAAGCCTTAAAGTCGCTGACGTCTCTCGTCTGCGGCACGGCAAATTGAATTTATTTTCTCGTCGAATTTGACGTGCAACTCGATTATCGCGTGTTTTCATCCCGTGATGTTTAAAGGGGCGCCAGGAAAGGAAAAACTCTCCTCACCTTGAGGGTTGGCAAAGGCTGCAGCAAACCGACGACTAAAAGTGGCTCTCTCGGCAGCGACAATCAACGAACTGTTGGCCAGACTTCATATCTCACACCTCCGCCCTCCAGCAGCCTGCAACAATAAAAATGCAAATTTGAAGAAAAACGTATAATATAAAGATACAAAAACGCGGGGGAGCAGAAACTTGAAATATATTGGTGTTCTTCAATGGGCCCTTAAGGATGATTAGATGATTTTTTTAATATAAAATGGAAATAGGCTTTTGATCTGATAAAAATATATAATTATATTTATATTTTCATGAAATTTTAAGAGTTAAAACTTTCTATTGGTTTTAGAGACGATATTTATTTTTTCTCACTTAATCTAGCTCAACATATTACATTAAAAATACTAAATACTAAAATACTAATTGTTTTGCAAATAAGCTTATATTAAAAAATATGAAAAATATATCAAGAAAATTGTTGACGATCATTGAATCATTGTTTTATTGTTCAAGATATATGTATATCTTTGGACTTTCATTTTAAATTCAATTAAAAATTTTTTATTCAACACAATCATTGCTTTATTTTGAATAAACAATTACCAATAAAGATCAAAAGAGCGAGATTTTGGTATTTTTTCCTTATTGGTAATAAAAATATTAATTCATAGATTTTATTATTTTAATTTACTCCAAAAAGTTGCTTTTATGTACAAAAAAAAATTGCAAATCAGATAAACTTTCAGTTTCTAACTTGGAAATATCAGATTTTGAGAACAAGGCATGAGTTTTGCTTATTGCGAATCTCTCGTCAGTTATTAAAATATGAAAATTAAAAAAAAACCTAAATTTATTTTGGGAATTAAATAATTCACCCCATCTAAGCTCTTCCGCAGAGAAATTTATCTGAAGTTCCTTTCCTGCATAGTGTGGTTACCGAACGTGCCAAGTCGTAAACGGACACCGCTTGGCTCGGCGAGAAACGATTTTCGAAGGGAAAATTTCAGCACCGTTTATATCTGCTGCAAAAAGGACGGGGTCGTTTTTCCTCTTGCTCTCTCGCAGATCCCATTACTCCCGTCTCGGGCGAAAGGCGATTGATCAAAATTTATCTGGAGAGACGAAAACGCCGGTTTGTATCGAAAGCGGCAAAAACAGCTCCACGGCGGCGAATCGATTGCGAGTCTTGAGCAAGTCTCTGTGTGTCGGCAAATACGAATAAACGTCGAGTTGAGGAGCAGTTTAATGTAACTCTTCGTCGGAGCAACGAGAGATTCTGATGCAGAATCACGAAGGCGAACGTGCCTATCGCTTTCTTTGCCTCTTTCCCCATGCATTGATCTGCTTTTGCTTGTAAGCAGAACGCGCAGCGCGGCTCTCATTAACCGACTCAAAGCGACGGAGGCTTAACTATACAGCCTTTCATTGGATTCCTTTTATATCAACAACTGTTTCCATCAGAAAATGGCAAAATTGGAATCCTCTCGCGCTGAACGCTTTTGTGGAAATTCTGAGCAATCAAGAGAATTTCAAAACGTTCTTTTGAGCTGCAAAAGCGGAGATTTGCTTCGGATCCAAATTTCAATAAAGAGCAAAATTTGTTTTCTACCGTTTCCTATGTCCTCTTTCCACCTTTGACTCGAAATTTTCCTGTTTTCTTTTTAGAATCGCAAAGTTAAATACATAGTTTAAAATCAATGCACTCCTGAGATTAGATTATTAAATTTAAAAAACGAAATAATTAGGACAAGACAACTGAAAAATAGTAGCTCAAGTTTATTTGAAATTATATTATAATATTTTTATCCATATAACTTTTTCAGCTTGCATATTTTCTCTCTCACAATTTGAATGTGGATCCTTATAAAACAAAAGCCAAATTTAGTTAAAAAAAAAATATCTATCTAGTGCTGGGGCTGAAATTTATTGCCAAGATTTAGTTTTACCCTCTTCTGATTAATTCAAAGATTATAGATTTGAACTTCAGCATATAGAAAAATACTCCTCCCGTATTATTCTGGGCCGATTTTTATTATAGTTTTAAATAGCTGTGTCAAGGAGAAAATAAAGCAAGTGAAAAATTTGATTTTAATTAAAAATGATTTGTTGAAATGAAAAGTTGTACCCTCAGTATAAATATTGAAAGGGAAACTATAAATTTAAGCCTCATTGAGTTTTTGAGCTGTTTTGTATCAATTAAGTTGTTCAAGCAAAAACTTGTTTCCCTCATCTTTCATGGAATTGTTAGCAGATAAATAGTCTATTGATTTTTTTGATTAGATGGAGTTTCTAAGGCAAAATTTTACTGGAATCATATGAATAAAATATTATGCATTGCGTGCAAAGTGGAATTTAATTAATGACTTAGTATTATTCAATGAGAATCCTTTTTAATTATCGTCCGTATTTCTCCAATTAAATTTAATTTCTATCAGAGGCTTCCTTTTTACTTCGTTTCCTTTTCAAAGCGAGTTTATATATTTTAATGATTTGATTCAATTTACAATACACGCGCGCGCCATTGCAGAAAATGTCGGGTAACGAAAGCAATTACCCATTACGTCCGCTGACAAAGTCACGTTCCCTGGCAGTTTTTTGCTCAGTCGATGACAGATTAATTATCGGCTGCAGCAGTGTTGTGTTTTCCCGCTCCACAGCCGCGACTCTAAGCCCACATATATGCAAGCAGGTCACACAGAAGAGCAGCTTCGCTTTCCACTCGGTTGCATTGCGAGGCAAAGGCAACAGAAAATCAATGGCTGATGAGCAGGAAAACAATGGAGTGCCATTCAAGGAATAACTTTGCACATGAAATTCATGGAAAAATAAATTAATTAATCACAGCTCCGGAGAGTTGCGAATCCGTTGGTTTGGAAATTATTTGAAATTATGCAAAATCATGTGTGGATATGCAAATCACGGATGCTGGGAAAGATCAAAAAGCAGCAGTCCAATTTGCATAACTCGATTGCACGCGGCGAAATTGGAATTGCGAATCGCTTCCGTCGCGGCGACGATTAATTATCGCTGCTGATGACGAGAGAGAGTGACTTATTACGGCGGCAGGTGCGACGCATGTGACACCGACTCGTGCACTGCCACAGCCGACAAGCCCTCCATCTGTCACCATTCTTCCAACCGGCTCTCTTTTGCAAGAGACAGAACTGGCAAATGGTAATTGGAAATTGACGAGGTCGTGCCTTGCGAGGCACGTTGTTTGCGGGAAAATGTGCAAATTTGCCATCGCAAGCAATTTTCCTACTTCCTTTGATAAAGTGAACTGAAAATAGAATGTGTATATCTTTACATTGGAAATTCTCTCTTTGTGATCATTTACGAAGTCACTCCTCCAATTGTACTTAAATTGCCAATTTTTATGGGGAAGCTTAAATTTTACTTATTTTTTATAATTTTCAAGATTTCTTTTGATTTCAATGATTTTAAATTTTTAGCAATAAAAATAAATTTAAAATATTGGAAATTTTAATGGATATTTTTTTGTATCAATATAAATGAATTGTTAAAAATTGCCCAAATTTACCAAAATAATACAAATTGTTTCAAATCGATCCTTTTGATATGGTCACTAAGAAAATTATTTATCATTGTTCCACCATATTGTGGTAAAATATTATTAAATAATTTTCTTTCTGAAAGCAGCTTTTAATTGCTGATTTAAATTCAATGTAAAAATATTCCACTATTTTTTATTAATTTTTTTTTTATAATTTTTGCATCTTTTGTGCGTGCGGTTTGTGGAAAAATAAAAATGAACCCTTCCTCACCACCCTGATCTGCATATTTAAAATGGAATTTTGGTACTCGTTGGTCGCAGGTGTGCTGCCGAGACCATTAAACGAGGCTGGGCAGCAGGTGCCGCTTGGCCCCTAATTACAACCAAGCGCAAAAAACGCGCTAAACATCATGATGTGGACAATTCTGCACACTTCATGTTGCGGCTACATTTTTTTCAGACAGAATATTCCATGGTTTTGGCTCCAACAGTTTTATTGCTACACTGTCTAGATAATTTTCAGAGCTTTAACTAATTTTTTACCTGAAGTATGCGAAGGAAAAGTAGGAATGAATGGAATCTCTAATTTGATTTCGTCTTATTAGAAATTGAATTTTTACGGATAAAATATTTTTAAATCAATATTTAAATCAGACAATAAATTCATGATCCGTATCTAATTCGTAAAACGTCAATTTTAATTAAATCAAATTAAATTGCAGATGTGTCGAAGCAAATTACATTTTCATTGATCAAAGTCACTCATTTCATCATTTTTACCCTCCAAATTTTAATCAATCAGCCCGGAAACAAGTTTTCCTTGCAAATTTAGTTTATTTTAGTGTAATGTTGTGAACATTTCTGACTATCTTTTTTTTTCAAAGCATTTTTATTTATACATAATGTTGTGGAACTACTGTCCACAACCTTTGAATAAAGGTTTAAATTTTAAATGTGCCATTGCCGCCTTTTGGGTTCCCTCACAGAGCAATTACTTTTCGCGCCCTGAAGGTGGAACCCTGAACGACAGCACGCAGCAGCAGCAACCCGCCCGCAAGAGAAGGAGGAGACGCTCGCGAGCCACCGGCCGGAAAACACACCCGTGTGTGCGCCGCGCGCTTCATAATTGGGGGGTATTGCTCTGTCCATTATTTGTATCCCAGTTAACTTTAATTGCGCCTCGCAGTTTATTCCGATCGCCAAGTTGTACTTGCCAGTTTAAATTACAATAGATTTAATCCTACATTTAAAAGTAACCACCCGTGCTTTTATTAATTACCGCGACCCCGAGTCTAAGGGAATACGGCAGAGAGAAAGAAAGCAGAAATCTCTCTGTCGTGGTGCTCAGTGGCCGAGTGTCACGACAGAATTGGTGTCAGGTGTGGGGTAGTCATCCGACTACCTTTGGTCCGAATCATCGCAGAAAAGCTCCGGAAAATTTGGCCACATGGGAACTAGAACTGCAGCTTCCCTTGGATTTGCGGTAAAGTATTCCTTCTCTGATTCCGTTTGAGCATCTGAATTTTGGGAAAAATTGGGTTTTTAAGTTGTGCCAGGAAAATCACGTGTAATTTGATTAGGCGCGTGTAAAAGTTGGAATAGCTCATT